CCCCGTCCCCCCGGCCCGGGCGCTGGCGAGTACAGGCAGGCATCGTCCTTGTAGTTCCCGGCAGCCGCGACCATCACCGCACCCATTTGTGCCATCCGCCGACAGCCGGCATTCAGCACGCGGCTGTAGGCACCGGCGAAGGGCAGCAGCACCACCAGCGGCACATAGGGCTGAGCCTCCAGTGCTGCCTTGACAAACTCCAGGCCTGGTGGGGACAAGACAAAGGACAGGACACTCTCGCCAGACAAGGACAAGGTGAGGGCACCAGGAGGGAGCTGTGGTTGGCGACTCACCAATAAGGGTCCCACTGACGGTGCCCTTCCCCTGGCAGTTCAGCACACGGAGGCTGCGGATGTTGGCACCTGTGGCCACACCGGCATCGCGCCCACTCAGCACCCCGGCCATGTGGGTCCCATGGCTGTCACACTTGCTGGCCTGGCACAGGCATCACCGTTTTATGCCCCAGCCCATTGATCCAAGCAGGTTTGCAACACTGCAGCGTCCTCCCCATCCCACCCCACCTCTTGTGCTTTGCACCAGCTAAATCCCACTGCAGAGTAAATCTTCAAAAATATTTTGGGGTGGGGGAAAAGATAAAAAAAATTATCCCATGCAGAAGGAGAAAAGCTGGCAGAAAGGATAGGCAATGCAGCCAGCCTTTCCTGGGCTGTGCTAGCACTGGGATCCCCTACACATGCAGTGATGCAAGCCATGCAAGGCAGCGCTAGCACCCACCGCAGCGTGCCAGCAGCCTTTGCAGCCCAGGGCGTGGACCTCGATTCCTTCTTGCAACACCTTGACACCCACCCATACCCCCCCAGCCTGCTTTACCGGGGAAGGAGCCCTGAGCCGCTCAGCCACAGCCCCAAACAGACTATGCTGAGGGTCCCAACATCCCCCAGGGACCACAGCTCCTGCTGCTGCCTGTCCTGAGAGGCATTTTGCCATGAGCCGAGTGACCCTGCTGTCCTGGGAAGCCCCACAAGCGTGTTCAGGAGGATGCTCTTGCCAGGCTGCAGCATGCGGCACTCCAGGTCTCACCTGCCTGTGGAAGCGGGTGCCATCCTCCTCGGGGACGCTCTCGAAGTCGGTCACAAGCACCCTGCCCTCGATCTCTCGATGGGTGCTCTGCACGCTGGTGTCCAGCAGGTAAATCTCCACCAGGTCACCTTTATCTACCAGGGACGCAGCCAGGGGGAAAGGCAACCACCCCTGCTGTCAGCCCAGGCCACCCGGGATGCTCCCAAAATGCAGCTCTGGACCCGCAGCACCACGTGGCGGGAGGATATCCCCATCCCCTCGAGATCAGGAGAGGGGATGGAGTCACTGACCCTTCCCCAAAGCCCCATGGTCCTCCCCCCATGCCCCAGCACTTACTGGGAGGGCTGTAGGTGTCTGAGCTGGGCTGTGGCAGCAGGATCCTGCCCAGGTTCCAGGGGATGCTCTGGGCAAAGACGTAGGCATCCTCCTCAACGTACTCCACGTGTGGCAGCTTCAGCGCCTGCGGGGAGGAGGCACAGCGCCCGGCGTGGGGGCGAAGCTCCTGTTGTTCCCCCCGAGGCTGGGGCTGCCACCCCCCAACCAGCGCGCACCTCGACTGCTGCCCACCACCCCAGGACCTGTCCTGCGCCCCACATACCATGTCCAGGACGTCGCTGCTCATCTTCACCAGGAAGGCGGGCAGGAGGTGGAAGACGTGCAGCAGCTCGGTCAGGTGGCCCCGCCGAGCCGCCC